TGGCTGCACCTGCTCAACAGTCACGCACTGAAATTCACATACACACACCAACGCACATTCAGACACACAAGAGAAATATTCAGCTTCATGTCTGACCTGTGAGAGACACTAAACAATGTGGTAAAGTGACGGGTAGGTTACTGTTTACCTTACTGCGGCTCATTCTAAAGACTGTGAAGACGAGCAGGTAGAGAGGATACACTATCAAACAGGTCACCACACCTGCTGCCACCGTCTCGCCGTTCAGTGAAGACAACCTCGACACGGCCTGAGAGCTGCAGCATTCACATTTGGAAATAAACGAGAGGATAGAAACAGGATAAAAAACAATCTAAGAAGCTACATTCAGGCACTTTATGTTTTTTTACTCATTAAAGTTGTTGTGTAATCTCCTGGTCACAAGCAGCACCTGCAACAATCAGGACTCCGATAATGACAACAGAGATATTAAATCTCAGACAGGAAGCCAACAAGTTCATATTATTGTCATTGTTGTTTTTTTTTTTTGCCAATCTTAAACCCATCCATAAATGCATCAATCATCAGGTGCTCTGTGGCCTCCTGGTTCCAGCTGGACTATCAGGCTCTGTATAACAACAGGAGCATCAAATGGAGGCTGTAAGGGGCCGTCTTTGTAAATTTGCTTGGAAAAAAACTGCCTTTTCTGTTCAAGGGACCAACATGTATTTTTTAAAGGACTCAGTCATGTAGTCATGTGTGACCTTGAGCTGCCTGTTTTTCAAAGTATGATATTTTATATCCTATATTGTCACAGTTGTTTATCTGTTAGAGTTTTTGTTTGTATCTTTCTTGTGTATTTGTGGTTAATTTGTATGTTTTTTTTTAAGGCTCTTCACGGGACATGATAAGTCTCGCTAGTATCTAAGACGTAGTCTGTTTTGCGGAGCGTCAAACCATCTTCCTCCATGATGATTTCATGAAATTCCACCACGTGCAGTTTCTGTGCAGCTGTGTAGCTCAACTGTATGTTGTACCATCTGTTTTCCCCATGTGCAGGTTACAAACCTAGTATGGTAGTTGAGCTCTCAACCTACAGTAACTTTGATTGTTTTGAAGTACTGACCTTCAGCTCGTGACCATTCTGACTAGAGTCCTGACACCCACATTCGCTGGTCGCTGATTTTCATTTATTTGGGAGTCTTTAAAATCAAACCAGCACTCCAAAATGTATATTTTCTTAACCGCATACCACTGTTTGAATGTTTAAGACCATATGAAGGAGAGAAGCTGTTAAAAAGTGGAGCTGCCAGCCTGATCCATGTTGCTATGTATCCTGGCAAGCTTTGCGTAAAGAAGTGGACACTTTCAATACACAAGGAATGGGGGATGAATTTTCATGGCAGGTATACAGCGGGTGATGGTGGCAGCTGCACTTAAGGTCATGACGGGGCATGTCGCAGTAATTTATTCTAGATTTTTTTTCCACTGCATCAGATATAAAATAAATTAAAGGTGGGTGTCATACACCAGATTGTACTGTAGCTTTGGCTATAAATGCTGTGGAGTGTGGCAACGTGTCCCTATACAATAAGAATAAAATAAATGAACTCTGTACCTGTATCTCTTGTCCACAACGATGCTGTACCACAGCGTGTTGGCGAATATGAAGAGCTGCAGCAACACAGCACAGCAGGTGGCTCTCTGCAGGCGGGTGAAGGGGCTGCGGGGAGGTCTCTCCCACAGAGACAGCCACATGTGACTCTCACACAGCGCCCTCTGCAGCTCACAGCGCAGGAGGCGGGGCATCTCAAGAAGCAAAGCCTCCTCTGAGGGACACAGAAAGTAACAGGGCTGAATAAACAGGTGTAAACCCTCAGTGTGTTCCTATTCCTCGTCATTTGGTTGAAGTTCTTTACCAGAGGCCTCCAACTCAATCTCCACCCGTCCGTCAGTTTTCTCATTATCCACCGACAGCCACTCCTCAACCAGGAAGTAGTAGCTGCTTCCTGTCTGCAAGTCTTTGATCAAAACATACTGGAGCATCCAGGCTGGGGACAGACCTGATGACGTGGAGAGGCATGTGGTTACCAAAACTTTCTTCAAATATCAGCTAGTTAAACTCTTTGTGATTACAGATTTTGGTTGTGTGTGCACATGTTTATAAGTACCCTTGTTGTCGTGCCAGATTCGTATTTTCCAGACACTGCCCAGGTTAGTATCTGTGGCGATATGAAAGATGTCGAGAGCATTGCGTGTGAAAGCTCCTCTGCTGTCGAGGTGTCGGTGTCCGCTGCGGCTCTCGCGCCCGTACAAACTGATTCCCACGTGAGCCGTGGTGCCTGAAGGGACAGAGAGAGGCTCATTCTGTCAACCGCATTCACACATTCTTTTTGTTTCTCCTTTTAAAAATACGTGTTGTTTGAGATGGTATCTGTATTTGAGGAACAGTAGTTTTTACTGTCTAAAAAATCAGGCACTCCATGGAGCTTCAAGTAAAAACTACGCTAGTTTTTAGCTCTCCTGACGACTCTCCTAATACTCACCAGCCCCTCGGCTCCAGCCGGTCTTCACCTGGACCTCATACTTAAAGAGTCCTTCTCCCCCACAGAGTGGAACCACAGCAGCTCGCCGTAGATCCAGCTGATCCAACTTGTGCAAGATGGCTGCTGCCACCACATAACTCAGTAAACCCAACACGCACACTAACAGGACGACCAGGCTGGGTGGACCGTAGCGTTCCTAATGGAGAGAATAGACAGTGGTTTCAGAGTGTTTGTGTTTGAGAGTGGACATAAAAAGTTTTTTTTTGTGATACTTACCGGCACTTTAAAGCTGACAGCGTTGGCTGGGACGAAGAGGCCTGCAGCAAAAGCTGTGAGGTGTCTGGTGCGACAAACAGCCCTGCTGGCATTGGTTTCCGCAAGAGGCACCATGCCGTCTGTCCGCCACTGCTTCTCACTCTCACTGAAGTACTGACACAGAGAGGCAAACACACCGACCTCCAGGTGAACACCCACCGGGTGGGAGCTGGGGCTGCAGGTCGTGCTCACGTTGATGAAGTAGTCCAGAGTGGTGTCGTACGACCTGTGTGAGACAGAAAAGAGCCTCAGTCACTTCTACAAGCAAAAGTGTAGGATCATGTGTGCTGATGGCCTAGCGGTTAGGTCGCACCCAAGGTTATAGTCCTCCAAGTTCAGCCTACGGCTTCTTTCTTGCATATCATTTACCATCCTCTCTCCCAATTTTCTACTCCATCCAATGTCCTATCCAAATAAAAGCAGCCCCCCCCCCCATACACACACACACATACAAATAAAGATGTTTCATTCACATTACAACAGCAGTGGATGAAGGGCTCTTACTCAGGCGACAGGAAGAAGGTGTATTTCCTGTGGTCCAGCTCCTGCCCCCTGGTCATACTGAGGGAGATCTGTTTTCTGTCTGTGCAGTTGAATTCGTTGGGTCTGTCATGTGAGTGAAGGTAGGCTGTGATGTACGGCTCCTCTTCTGCTTTTTCCTTCTCACTGACACCTGGGGAAAGAGAGGAAAAAAGAATGAGAAGACTAAAACAGTGCCAAGGCAAACACAAGTTCTTTATGTAGAATCGCTCATCAGATGAACCTCCTCCTTGTTGTCCTGCAAGTTATGCTGTAATAAAAATGGCTTCCTCAGACATTTTTTAACAAAGTCTTTAAGCTCAACCACCCCCAGTGAATGCATCACGTGTGTTACACATGAGAGCCTCACCGTGCAAAGAGGTGAAGTTGAGCTGCACAAACAGCCCCGCCTGCCTGTTGGTGTTTCCCGCGCTGATCTTGACTATCACAGAGTCACAGTGGCTGATGTTCACAGCTCCAGCTGTGGGGACCCCTCCAGTACCAGCACCCTCAGGACCTGCCTCCGCTGCACTGTACCCGTTGTTAATTGCAACGGTGATTGCGAGACTGTCGTCCAGTCCGGAGATGGGAATCTGCGTTCCGTTTTCAGTGCGGAACTCCATGGAGGCCACCTCTGTGGAGACGGTGTAATTTTCCACGTAGTTAAAGGGGAAAGGGTTGGACTCCACCTGATGAGAAAAAGCAAGAAGAAGAAATGGAGAGAATTAGATTTCATGATGAGAGGGTCGAACGGATAAAGGCTGAAAGACTTTTAAACACAAGGAAGACCACTTTAGAGAGGCACTTTATGTGAGTGTTTGCTGTTCAAGATTTTGGCACCTGCAGCTTTCATGTTGCCAAAGTCTTTAACAGCAATCTAAGAAGACACTTGAGGGGAGATGTTTTTCCCCACTAAGAGCTTGACATCATTTTGGGCTCTTTCCAGTGTTACCTGAAAAAGTAGTTGCATGATGCTGTTTCCTGCTGCAGCTTTGCCAAGACAACTGTTGAAAGCTCGGGGGATGGAGAACCGCTGGCACTCTGGAAAAACAGGAGAGGAGGAGGAGATTTAAATTTGATATGAACTCATGTTTTCCCATGTGTTTTTTACAGTCCTATTAATAATGTTCAACTTCTTACACATTTCAAGGTAAAGATACCACGTGCATCCTAACTTCAGCTCATAAGGCACTAATTAGAATAGCACACCTGGACTGTTGTTGCCATGGTAGCAGAGCAGGCTCTGAGGGTCTGCCAGTTTCCCCGTGGCAGCGATCTCAGCTCCCCTCAGCACTAGCGGCTCCTCGTTGAGGACCCGAGCGTGCATGAGGATCAACATGAGGACAGAGGACAGGCTGAAGGCCTTGGCCGCCACTCTTAAGGGGTGTGGCTCCAGTGAGGAAGGGGAGGGGTCTAACAGGGGGCCTCCTTGATCCTCGCTGATTGTAGAAAAAGTGGAGGTGAAGTGGGGCGAGGTGGAGTCCATATAGGGGGGCTGGAAGTAAGACTGGGATGCAGACTGGCTGACCTGATGGATCAGATCACCTGGAGGTGGAGAGGTAGAAGACATCATTATGACCAAAGAAAAAAAAGGAGAAAATGTTACAGCTGCACAGATTCTTTTGTTGCAGTTATATTTCTTAATAAATATTGAACTGAACCAGTGTTGGTGATATCTCCAGATTTCAAACATGTTTAGTTCAGGGACACAATCCTCTCCTCTACACTAAGTTATGTTTAGAGGTTTTTAAGATAATATTGTGAGTCAGCCAGTCCCTGATGGATCTAGTAATTGGATGATCTAGTAAATATGGCTGAAAACAAAACAGAAAAGCCTCAGTGGTTGAATGATTCGTTTCTTTAACAAGCAGCATAAACATACTCAAGTTAAGCACCAGGAGCACTTAAACTGCAGATTTATTTTTAGCTGCCATGTACCTTTTTTCTTTTGCTCTGCGTCAGCACACCTGAAACATACCCGTAGTTCCTCCCGTTTATCGCAGCTTTTTGTTTTCTCTTATGGCCGTTACTACGGTGAGTGAAAGGCACTACAACAGGAGTGGGACAAAATATCTGCACTACTTTATATTGTCATCCTGAATAGAGTGATACAATTATCACACCGCTGGTCCCAGATCTCAATTTTTAAATTAAAAAAAGCTCAAAACAGATATCCAGGCCAATTTGTCTCACAGTGTCACTACTTGATAACTCCTCAGGCTGTTGCTTATGATATGAATGAGGGTAACATGACAGGAAGTTTATTTTCGTGCGTAGCTTTTTCTGCCTTTGTTTTGGAGCTAGGACAGGGGATAGAGTCGGAAATAAGGGAGAGGGAGCGGGGAAGGAGCCACAGGCCGGATCCAAACCCGGGCCCGCCCACATGGAGGACTAAATCCTCTGCACATCGGGCGCGCGCACCAACCACTAGGCTACCGGCTCCCCAAAAAGACGTTAATTGGCCCAAGAAAGAAGTTGAGAGCAGGATAAAGAAGAAGACAGCAAGTTAATGCTGGAAAGTGGTGAAAGAAGTTCAGAGATAAAGCATATAAAGAGTCGACACTGACACAAAATTGCAGTGAATAAATAGTCTTACAAACATCAATCATTGCAGAATCGCTGCATGGTGTATCATATCATATGGTATTGCATAGTATTGTATCTTCTCTTAACATAACATATTACATATCTTATCAAATCTTTTTGTACCATATTGTGTAGTTTGATCGATTGATTTTATTATTGTGTCATGTATAAACAATATGCCCAGCCCAAAAGAGGCTAACAAGGCACCGTTATTAATACACAGAGACCAAAGAGCTAAAGTAGACACTTAATAAAAATAATACTAACAAAATAAAACATCCTGATGTTTCTTCCAGGCTTTAGAGACTGAAGTGGCCAGCTTATAAATATTGAAATGAAAACAACAAGTCATCATCATCAGTACCGTATTGTAGCGTAGCATATCGTACTGTATCATATCATGACTGATCCTCTGCTCCCCGCCCCTACTGTTTGGAAAGATGGAATCAGTCACAGACTTTTAGGGTGACAGAGAACATGCTTTCTTACCCATGATGTTGAGGATGTTGTCAGCTATCTCAGTAGGAGTGACGGTGCCTTGCTTGGTGTCAGTTTGCAGAATCTCCAGCATGGACTCCAGCTTGCTCAGTGTGCTGTTCTGACACTCCTCACAGATGAACTCCCGACTCACCGCCTGAAGAACACACACAAACACACACACAGACGGCTGATCAATATTTGGTTTTCCTGACAGTTTCCGTCTGTTCTACCTGTCTTTTCTTTTCCACGACTACCCGTTGTTCCTTTGTTTTCTTTTTATTGTTCCCCCCTTTCCAACCTGGCCCCGCTCTCTCTCTGCTCACCGTGCACTGTGCTAAAGCAGCCGAGGTTTGTTGGATGTCACTGACGGTGGTCAGGTCCAGGGCGGTCAGAGCTCTGGTGATGTTGCTTCGGACTCTGACCCGGTCACTGCGCTCGTCTCGTGACACGCGCACAGACTTCCTGGTCTGCTCATACTGGAATAATAGAAATATATCATTCAAAGTGTGCTTCTCATAACTTGATAAATGATTGGAATAATAACTGTTCATCTCTGATGCTTGGTTGGCCTCTCCTACCTCATTTAGAACTGTAATAAAAGCCAATGATAACTCTCGGACCCTCTGGGAGTCTCCCTGCTCCAACAGCTTTTTGAGTGTCGTGTCTGTCAGCTCCGACAGCCAGTGAGGAAGGCTGTTGTATTCAGGGGGCGGATCTGGTAGCACAACCTCAATGGACCTGTAAACAAACAGAAAACAAACAAACAAAAAAAAAGCACTGAACCTGGATCTCAAAAGAACAGACCGTGAACCAAATAATGAAGTGAAAATGTTGTTACTTGTTGAGTGCAAGGCTGGCAGCGCCCTGGTGGTCCTCCACTGTGATGGAGACGGCTAAACGGTTTCGTGCTGAGCTGAAGCCTGGGGGCAGGAAGACAGAGTGCTCGGGGCTGCTGCCTTTGTACACACAGAAGTCCTCGCAGTAGTCTTCTCTGCAGCGCGTCACCAGCAGACTGTAGAGCAAAGGAGTCTCTGAGACCCCAAGATCACTGTAACCTGGAGGCAAAGGAGAAAAATAGAAACAAATAAGAGAAGAAAAAGCTATGATATTGGTAACATGTAACGGAGTAATGAAGGTGGAAATCTACTGATGATATTTTAGAATATCTAGAACTGGAAACCAAAGGAAAGATGAGAGTAAAGAAGATATATTTTGAATCAGATGTGTGATAAAAGAGGTTTTTTCTTCGCACCTGAACAGTTGAAGTGTACCCTGTCCAACAGCGTGCGTATCCTCAAGCCTTCTACTTCTGCGTCCCCGTACTCCATCCCTGTTTCCCCTCCCCCTCTCAGGTGACACTCTCCACCAGACGGGGGCATGTTGTGGTGCAGAGTGATGGAGGCGGCGCCTTCACCGTCCAGAGTGCCGTCGGTCACGTGCAGGGTGAAGATGTAGGAGTTCTCGTGCTGCAGGACACCCTGGCGCAGCACTAGGTTCATGCCGTCACTTCCTGTGGTGGTGGAGGAGGAGTCCAGGACCAGAGTCTCGTTCTTCGGCGTCATGGCGCTCCAACGCTGAGAGACAGAGGGAGAAATCAAATGTGGCCTAAAAGCAAGCAACACAGGGTCATACCTGGGAAAAGGCAATAATAAAGTGAATAAGCTTCAATTTGTTAGCTTAAAAGCTTTCATTACAGGTAGGAACGGCTTCATGTTTCTTTTATAATAGTAGCTTGATGTATTTCTTAATATTTGGTTTAATACAGACTCAACCCTGGGAGCCAGCATAGATAGGTAGTGCCGATTAGAAACCTGAATGAGCCAATATTCAGGTTATAACTGCACTAGCATTATAACCTGCCATTGGTAGCAGGTCATTAAAATAGTAGTGAATAGGCAATGAAAGGCATGTGGCAGACAAAATGTTCTGGAACAGTTAAAAGATTTTGATGAACATTTAATCGTGAGAGTAGTTTCAATCAAAAATTTGTCCCCTCGAGGTAGAGTGCCCATCACCCGGGTAACTGAACAATTACTGTTCAGTGACCGCCTTGACAAAGAGAGTTGTATTTGTGTGTGTGTGTGTGTGTGTGTGTGTGTGTGTGTGTGTGTGTGTGTGTGTGTGTGTGTGTGTGTGTGTGTGTGTGTGTGTGTGTTTACCCCACGATGAAAGCCCTGGCAGTTGGTGCAGGTTCCTCTGAGGTAGACGTAGGAGTTCTTACTGACCTCGTAGATGGACTGAGCCTTACAGGACACACACTCCAGATACACCATGGGGATATGACCACTCTGCACCAGCACCTGTCACACAGAGCCACACAAACACATTAACACACACAAATCCTCTTCATTTTTAGCAGTTAAGGCTTTCACACACATGCTCTCAGGATCCTGCATCTGGTAACTCACAGTATGCGTCACGCTATGACTCATTGACTACATTAAAACTCAACAAAGGCCAAATCGAGGCCAACACTTTTAAAATGACATCTTACAGCGTGTTTCATGAACACTTTGTTCTCTTCTGCTTTCTTGCGGATTGCTATGCTTCACTAATTACAGAGAAAATGTCTATTCTGGAATCAGGGGCCGACCCAAAGCTTTCAGAGCTTCTTCCACTAATAGGGTACCAAAAGGGGAATGGCAAATCACTTCTAATATGCTTAACATCTCGATTTCTATGTAAGAAAAGATCGCTAAGTTACATAATACCATCTAATAGCATGAAGTATAGGCTGTCATTTGTTCTAATGAAAGTCTTAATTGTTTTTTGGTAAATCAAATAAAGCGCAAGAGAAGCAGCCGATTAGTAACCAACATCTTAAGTACCTCAGATGTTCACTTACAGTCTGTGTGGTTGACTCTGGTGCCATGCCGTCTTTAATGATGGTCAGCCTGAAAGTGTATTCAACACCCGCCTCCAACTCAGAGCCAGAGATTCCCAGAACTGGACCGCTGGAGCCCAGGCCGAAATTAAGAGTGGAGCAGTGCTCAGGACCCTGCAGGTAAAAAAAACGGCCACAGCACTGTCAGTGTTTTGATTCTATCCTAAAGGTGTTCTGTTACCAGTATAAATACCAGTATGGAGGGGTGGAAGAGTTCAAGAAAATGATACACAAGTGCAGTTTAAGGAAAATACTGGTCGACTTGAAGTACTGAATACTGAGTTCTTCTATAACTGATGGGGGTAGAGAGTGGGGTTGAAAAGTAAATTATCTGTACAACAGGAATATTCAAGGTTATTTAATTAAAGGATCCATCAGTGTTATCTAATCCCATTCTTACACATTCATGCACCGCCAGGAGCAACTTGGTGTCAAATGTCTTGCACAAGGGCACATCGGACATGTGGCTGCAGGAGCAGGGGATAGAACCCTCGACCGGCCGAGTCTACCACTGAGCCACAGCCAATGTGGTTCATGACTCTGGCTATGATCCTCAGCATTTAAACAGATATAAAGCTACTCAATTACAATAACTAAGTAAATGTAATTCAGTACTTTTCCAGCCCTTTCATTACCTACCTCACTTACTGCCTACCATTACCAACAAGCCCCCAAAAAATCAAATGGTTTACATACCAATTGACAATAACAAACAACAGTTAAGTTTAAGTAGATAGTGTAATGTTTGGCAAGCTAACAAATCCTGTTTTCTACTTATAACTACTATGAATATATTTTTAAATCCCACTAACATCCCAGGGTACTCGGTGTCAGACAGTCTTACTGCAGGTCTAAAAATCACAATGGGTACTGTGAAGGAAAATATGCACACGTATTGGAACATTTCTTTTTATCTCCCTACAAGAAGTTGTGCGAGGTTGCTTGTTTTTATTTTCTGCTTCTAAACTCTTGAAAACTTTCTAGATGTTTACAGAAAACTGACATCCTTCTACAAGTCTTCATCAACTTAAAACTTTCACAACGTGCAGACATTTAATCGTGTCAGCCGTACTTTAAAACCAATTAAATGTCTGCTAGAGGTGTATTTCTATCCAAGGTGAGAACAGTGTAGGACATCTATTTAACTGTTTCTGCCACTCCATCTTTTCATCCTCGCATCTTTGGACAAAAGTTCAATACTGTGTCACTCTTGGTCGATCATTCTTCAGGCAGTTTTTCTTTCTATGTTGCATTATGGGGATTTACTAAAGGGCAGTGAGTAAAACATTCAAATACTTGGCTAAGTACATTTCATTAAAGAAAAATATGCTGATAAATGTCTGTCAACCGCAGTTTTTCCATAATGAAGACAAAATAGGTCATTGATAATAAAAACTGTGATGACACATAGGCTTAGTTTTCAATAACGAGACAATACGGGTCTAAAATGTTGGTGCCGTTCTGTCGGAGATTCAAAGAAGACAAGAGAGGAGATGTGTGTTTGTGTGCTGCCAGGCAGAGAGCAGGAGAACTGTGTGTGTGTGTGTGTGTGTGTGTGTGTGTGTGTGTGTGTGTGTGTGTGTGTAGAGCAGAGCAGAGCGCCAGACAGCACTAGCTTACGCGATAATAAGCGCTAATGAGCTAACAATAGCCCTTACAGGCATCAAGTGACTGAGGTCTGTAAGGTAACATACTATTAGTGACTTTATAATGCTCAGGCTTCCGTTTATATGAGATGAAGATGAATGAAAAGCTGCTGACTAGGTTAAATCTGTCGCTCTTCTGTCTTTAAATGTTTGCAGAGATGTCGAAGTAAAATAACTCTTAGTACACTTTGAAAGTTCTCCACTACAAGTAAAGGTCCTTCATTCAAAGTGTATCAGTATTGTCATAAATATGTAAGAACTTAAAGAAGACCCCTTTTCCACCTTTTCAAACAGTCCCCTGTGGTCTAAATGAAACATCTGTGCTATGCTTTGGTCAAAATATAACATGAATCAAGCACCAGAGGAGGTTTGTGACCCTGTATAAACCAGCTCTCTCAGAACGCTCTGTTTTGGTGTGTGTGTCTCTTTAAATGCAATCAGCCCCACTGAGTGTTCCCGGTAGACATCAATCCTCTGTAACGAGAATAAAAATGGCGGACCTGCTCAAAAGTTTTGTTCTAGGCTGGGGGTGGAGTGCCAGGGGAGGGGATTTTCTTTTTTTCTTTTTTTTTTTTACCAGAATCCCACTGTGACATCACAAGGAGAGCAAAATTGAAACATTTTTTTCTGTGTTGTAAGACCTGTGTTTAATGTTTTTCATGTGTTTATGAGTTTAGGAAAACAGCTAACAAACATATTGTTATAAAAGGCTATAACAATTTTCTGAAGCTGGTTTTAGGCTTACTGAATTAGTTAAAAAAGTGAGTAAAAGTAATGGTTTTAATTCAAAGTACTGACTTAAATGTAATGACTTTTTAAAGGACGAATGTTAACTTTTTGATCCAGTAGATGTCGCCCTTGAGCACCTGCATTAAACCAACACAAAATGCTGTTAGGAGACACCTCCGCTATTCTGAAGCCTCCGCTCTCCTCCAGCGACACACCTCTAACCCCTCTACACTCGCATGAAGGAATCTCCTCCACGCTTCCAGTCATTGCTAATCCTGCAGGTTCCCAAAATTCACACAGAGTTGGGAAGTTTTCTCGTACTACTATACCCCAAAAACTTCAAATGAAGCCGAATGCATGAATACATTTGAACATTTAAAGTTTGAATTACTGATCTTATTGAGTTCAATTCTTTTTTAATTGTATGAACGGTTTTTATTATTTTGATTCTTTCATATATTTCATTGTCTTGCCCTTTGACCTCCTAATACAATGAATTTCCTGTTTATTCCTGTTTTCTCTCTTCTTGTTTCCTTGCCGTCTCTGATGATCTGACTTGCACATGTTTGATGATATTTCAATCTGCTCCATTGATGTCTGAATCTTAGGGCACCATTGTTAGCGAGGGTTCTGGGTTCAAGGATTTCCTCTTTTAATCAGCAGGGTTACTCAGCTGTAAGTGTATTTCTGTCTGTGTATGTGTGCATGTTGTTTACTGTCTGTTCAAGTGTGTCATTTTCAGGGTGGGGAGCGAAGAACGAGCTGTGGAATGCTGAGTTTATCTCTAAATAGTTATATAACCCTTTAAATGCCTGTCTGCTTAGATATACAGAACACACACACGCACACACAGACACACACACAAACACACACACACACACACGCAAAAACATGCATGCAGAACACACCCATACCATTGGGTCTTAGATTGTGGTCTTTACTGCACAGTCCAAATGTGTTCCCACCCAGTCAAGGAAGCGGTGAGTGTGAAAAATGCTTAATGAATTTCTCACACACGCACACGCAGGCACACACACTGAGGCACATACAAAATGTATCGTAAAGTCAATAGCAACACTCACAAACTGTCCTGAACTGGTTTTTCTCCTCACACCAGTGCTGTCAAGCCTCTGAAGGCTGTTACAGTACTGAGTACCAGATGACCATTACGTAACTTTTCCACTGTCTCCTTAGCAAATTCAAATCTGTCCTCCAAACGCCATCTTATGAATTCACAATTCATATAAAAAGTTAGCGACTAGGGTTTGCTCAGGCCATGCAACACGCTTCTCTTTCTTTTCCTTCTGCTTTGTTATCCGAGTGCTGAGAATAAATCGAGAGAAACCACAGGAGCTGAAGCTGCGAAGCAAAGAATCCTGCTTTACTTTACTACGACAACTTTTAAAAACCATTCATGACTCAACAGATAAATATGGAATAAGTTATTTTCTGTTTGATAAATAAAAGCCCTGATTTCATATTTACACTACTACACTGTTTTTTACCTACATTTGACAAGATACTGGAACCTCTATTTGGTTTTATTTATGAGGGATCCCTCTATTCCTTAAGAAACTGAACATGAATAAATATCATTGGATTAAATATCTCTGACATTGTTTTACAGTGACTTCACTTCTGTTATACTTGTATTGCTGCGGGGCACCACTAGACAGGATGCCACAGTCTCAGCTCGTCTCAAATAAAGGATACATAAGAATAAATGAACCTGTTACAAGCAAGAGTAAAACTTGAAGTGAAAGACCCACTTGTTAAGTATTGAGAAAAAAAATGGAGCAGTAGGACACAGAAATCCCTGCTGACACAAGAATTTCAGAAAATCAACAATAAACTGATCTGAAGGTATTTACACGATAAAAAATATCTCAAAAGAAAAAAAAACACACTTATAGTGAGGAAATGTTTCACAATGTTCTTTCACTTGTTTTGACGGTGTCTTCTGTTTCATGCCTGCACTTACCTTGGATGTGCTTTGACACTCCCAGTGGTAGTGGAGTAGTGACTGACTGTCGGGGTCCATGTTGGGGTCGTATGACTGCTCTGCACTGAGCTGCAGGTCTTGTGTTCTCGACCACACTCTGTAGGTGCCCCCTTCTATAATCGGCATCAGCCTGACGTGAAGAAAAGGGGATCAAATCTCTGGTTAAAATATTAAAACTTTTCCATGATAATCATTTGACATGTGATCAAATATGTTTGGATGTAATTCTGCGTCTAATAGAGGAGCGTGTTTGTGAACCTAAGCACAGAAGTTAGAATAAAATCCAAGCAATGCATGCAGACCTAAATATCTAGCAGCATGAATGATCTGACATCTCGTCTTATATCTTAAAAAGTCCACAGAACGGTTTGGTCAGAAAACACCTAATGTTTTTTTTTTTTTTTTTAAAGATTTATTTTGGGCTTTTCGTGCCTTTAATACAGAGACAGGACAGTGGATAGAGTTGGAAACCAGGGAGAGAGAGTGGGGAATGACATGCGGAAAGGGGCCACGGGTGGAGGTGAACCCGGGCCTACCGCTCGAGATGAGAGTCTCAATACATGGGATGCGCGCTCTAACCATTGCACCACCAGCGCGCCCCAGAAAACACCTACTGTAACACCAACTTGATTTTTTCCATTCATATTCAGTTTATTTTTAACGTCGTATACTGGTTTACTGAGGTTTTCTCAAGAAAACCTGAATATTGGAAACTCCAAGTCACTACTCAGTGTAGTCTTTGGTTATCACAGCATCAATATCTGGTTTTAGTTCTAGACTTTACGTCCATACTATGGTCTGTGGTTGAGTGTCTGCTTTGGTGGCATGGTTAATACATTTGAGACAAGTTACATGGTACCAAAGAGACAGCTTTTCGCCGAGTTGGACATCAGTTTAAGAACAGAGTCAAACAAGAACTTTTAGATGCAGAGTGAGAGGTAATAATGGTGCCTGAACATCATGTAGACTCTGTATTAAAAATCACACAGAAATTATGAAAGGAGAAGAAATATAATCCAGAATGCTGTTTTTTTAAGAATGAAGGACATGCTATTTTGAAATGATACATTTGTTTTCCCCTTTTTTCTCAGTTTCATAGAGTAAAAGATTACTTAGTCCATTATCAATTTGTTTTACATTTCAATGATTGTTAATGAATCAGATCGTAGCCTATGAACTGAGATTCAAATCGGATAGTCCTGTAAAGGAGAGATTCACACCCCTGTTCTCTGTGCAAATGTAGCCATATCACTAGCAGGAATTAATTCATGGTTAAAAATGATGGATCAAATTGGTATACAATACGATATGGTACACTTTTATTGTCCCATTGGAGACATTTGTCTTGGATTCAAAGTGCTGCAAACATTCAGCTGCTTCAATGGTAGAATCCCTTACTGACCTGGCAGCCATGACGCTGAGTTGTATACAAGCAGCCTTCCTCAGTGGGACACCTTTGTATGACAGAGAAAACACTAAGGTGTAGTTCCCTGTTGGCAAGGCCATCTTAGGCAACGACAGCTGCAGCCGCTGCACATCCACCTCCACCGGCAGGCGAATTATTGGTTTCATCAAAGACCGGGAGGGCTGAGACTCCATCCCAGAGGGAATAACGTGGTTTTTGTCATCATCACATGATGGTGTTGAAAGTATCTGCCAGAGGTATTGAGCTCCGTAGCGTAGGCAGCCTTTCAGATCCACACTGGCCTCCACCAAAGAGGGCTGGTAACGCCATATGGGCAAGCGAGGGGCTTGAACCACATGCACTTCTGGCTCCTCACACTCCAATACACTGATGTTTACCTCCACTTGGGCCAACACCCAGCTCACCAGGTTGCTGCAGTTCACCTGAGAAAAAGGACAAAAAGTCACAGAAAATTGGGAGATGTCAAGTTTCACATCCAAAATTGGTGAAATTAATATTTCAAATATTGAACAGTTTACAGTGAAAAAACATACTTTGACGAGGAAGTGCCCAGGGTTTTTGAAGTTATAATCCACAGTTGTGTTGTTGGTATGAACTGGAGATGAACCATCACCAAAATCCCACAAGCACTCCACAGAGTTAGAGCTGGGTGAAACGTAGGTCGACAGCGTCACTGTCTTATTGATAAAAGTGTCCCGTGGTGTTGCATACAGGACGGCAGCAGTCAGCAGGTTCTGCACCAGGATGTACTTGGTGATATACTGACTAGGCAGGGAGTTGAAGGCCTTCAGGTGGATGGTCAATACGCCTTCTACTTCTGGGGTGTAGGACACCTGGAGTTGTGTGATTCATTGAGACACATCACCATTTGTGTACCTTAAAAGCTGTTTGCTGTATTTATATTTTTGTCATCACTAAAAAAAACGAGTATTGAATTGATGTTACCTCTTTGCCAAATATTGTTGTCTTGTGGAGTTTGTGCAGATCAAAGGTCCACAGGAAACAAACTGGTTTGCCTCTGACGATGTTGGCCACAAAAAACCTCTTTTCACCCACAGGGATTGCTGCAGAGATTCCCGTGATGGAAAGTCCACTCACCGGCTCCATCACTTGGACCTGGAGGTTCCTCCTCTGAGAACTCACCTGGATTTTCACATTGAAATACATTATCAAAACCTCCAATGTTTGAATAAATTATCATGCTGGATTGTTATCTCAAAGTTAATGAAAATATATACTTTTTGTTACCAATAACTCATAATAACTTTTTTTGTGTCCAAACATAATGAGAGAAACGGTTTTTTGTTCTTTGAGGAAACATTACTAAATTTATGGAGGTCTCCAAGTAAACATGTTTGTGGTGTGAGTGGTATGACTGAGTTAGTATTTATCATTGCTTGCTTTGTTATATCCAACCAAATATATTACATTTTGATGCAGTCCAACAGCAGATGGAGTAGTGTTCCCTCAGCAGTGCCACAGTTAATGCAATTAATATAACCGCCAATGCACAGCTGTAAATGGTAAATGGACTTGAGCTTATATAGTGCTTTTCTAGTCTTTAGGCTATTCAAAGCGCTTTTACACAGCATGTCACACCTACCCATTCACACCCTGATGGCAGTGGTTGCTATGTAGTGAGACTATAAGTAGTAACTAATCCCGTTCATACCCATTCATACGCAGTGGGAGTAATTCGGGGTTAAGTATCTTGCCCAAGGACACAGCGGACATGTTGCTGCAGGGTTGCTGAGAGACGACGACTCTACCAACTGAGTCACAGCAGCCCCATAAGTAGAGGTGTAGTTTAGACTGTTATGGGTTTTGAATTATGTTAGCTTACCTACTTATCTTACTTATCTTCTTAGGTGCACTAAGCACTAAGTACTTGTGTGCTTTCATCCCTTTATTCTCAGCCTGTCCAAAGTTTAGATCATTGGGTGGGCTTGGGTGGGGGTGCTTATTCCTGTCAAGGTATGTCTTTAATGACTAACTACTAATGATTCCATAACTGCATGAGTAAAATAAAGCACCACTGGATTGTAAGCGTAAATGTGTTACGGTGCCTGTATGTAATTATGAGGAGACTTGAACTTGAACCCCAAGAAAATCATTTAAATTCAAGATGTAGTGAGACAATTAGCAAATTATCACAAATCCTTATGATACATAACAGTTAATTTAAGTGAAAGTAACATGGGTGTTAGTTGATTAAATGTTTAAATGATCTCAAACATACAAATCATTTATGTTACTGGCACTGATAATATATGAATCCATTTTGACTTTACCTGGTTGTGAGCAGTCAGATTCACCATGTATGTATCCACCCTGCTGAACGTATGGACATAGCTTTGGTTGGGTTGAGGGATGACAGTGGCGTCGCCGCTAATGCTGAGGATGAGACTGACGTCTGTACCTGCGCCCATGGAAAAAGTGAACTCAACTTTCTCACCGACTGCTGCGCATTTTTTACTCGCCCTTAGTTCCAATCCCTGAATCTTGTCCTGAACAAAGAACTCTCTGGAAACCAACTGTCCACTGACATCATTGGAGGCATTCAAAGACATGACGGCTGTTTTTGGCTCATTAAAAATCAGAGAGGTTTTCCTTCCAGTTTCTGTCCTTCCCTCTAGCAGCCATGTCCACGTCACATTGGTTCCTGTGAGTACCTCCCCCTGGAGCACAAGGCTGACATTGGTTGCTACGTAACCTTGCTCTGTCACATTGGTTGCTGAAAAATTTAAACCGGAAATTAATTCCTGTACACTGAGGACCTCTGACACAATCTCTGAGCTCACTTCATTGAAAACTTCCACAGTAACTAGCTTCAGTCCAGGACTACTGAAGCTTTGGGTCTTCCATGGCTCGTTCCACTGCAGAACATCCCCATTCACAGACCAGCGATACTGCAGGTCCGAGCCATCAGGAGTCAATACAGTCAGGTTGGTTGAAGCATTGATGGCAATCTTTTTGTTGCTGATCTCTAGGTGTGGATGTCCAACTGGGTCCAGGAAGTTGATAGTTCTGTTTACAGACAGCTGACCAAGGAGGTTGGCTGCCTGGAGAAAGATGTCACAGCGGCCTGGTGTGGAGAAGTTCACTGCCACTGTTTTTGCACTTATGTTAAAGCTGGAACTGACGGGGTCAAGCTCTCTGATGAGGTTCCAAGTAAATGTCATGTTGGTTCCTTCTTTTAAACCAGCGTTTAGGTGGAGAACACGATTGGTAGCAAAGTAGAAACCTTCCAACCCCCGGCCTCCATCTCCTCGAGTGTCCTCTTCTGCTAAAATCTGCAGGCCCTCCAGTTCACGTTGGACAAACAGGAAGATGCTCGCTTGTGCAGTTCCAACATCATTCTCCGCCGTCACGATAATATTGAAAGTCCCAACGGAGCGGAAGGTGTAAAACATGGTGTGGGTCCCTATTATTGCTGTACAGCGATCACACAAGATCCAAGAGAACCGAACTCCATCTCCCTCCACCATTTGGGCCTCAAAGTGGACCGAGGCATTAAGAGGCACATTGACCAAGCTTGCATTGATGGTCAACCCAAGGATTGGCGCAAGAACAGCAACAGGTAAGCTTGTGACATTTCTGCTTACAGTGTTGGCAGCTGTCAATGTAACATTGTAGATTCCAGAGGTCTTGTAGGTGTGGAGGACATTTTGGCCCTTAATCACATTTCCGACTCCGAAGTTCCAGACATAAGTGACATTAGAAGCTGTGGAAGATGTTGTGAAATAGTATGGTGCACCAAGAGTCAGGTTGTTAAACTTAGTGCCATTATGTTGAATAAGAATGGGTCCTAATGGTGTCAGAACATCAAACACAACACTGGTGTTAATGGTGGAAATGTTGTTGAAGACAATGACTGACACAATGTAACGACCAGGGTTTTTATATGTTGTCACCATTTTTTCAGAACCACAGTTTGGCAAAAAGTCCTCTTCCCTACCAAGGTCCCACTTGTAACCATAGTGAAATTCTGGCTGAGCTCTGGCTTGGAGCTGGATCTCCTCCCCAACAGCATATTGTGTTTTCTCAAGCACAAGGCTGATGGTGGTTAAAGATGGCTGCACACACACCCAGTTGAAGAAGTTGGCTTTGGTGTCCTTGTTTATCCCGCTTGACAGAAGCAGTGAGAGGTGATAGTTCCCGCTTGTCAAGTATGTGTGCAAGACTCTGGGGTTGCCGTGGTGTGTCTCGTTGGGGCTTCCATCACCAAAGCTCCATTCGTAATGATGAGCTGATGCGTTGCCGGACACCCATGCTTCAAAGTTAACGGCAGTCCGCTCTTGGACACATCCAGATGGCTCCATCTTCACAACTTGGAAGACAAACACCTGCACTGGTACCAGTGTCCAGCCAGAGCTCACAGCATTCATGGCAGTCACATTCACTGTATAGTTTCCATCTTTTCTGTAGCCGTGTGATACATGAGGCGCAGATGTTGTGTAAATAGTCCCATCGCCCATAGAGAACGTCCAGGTGATGTTATTCCCAGAAGCAAGGTGTGCCCACACTGTAGTTGAACTGTGAAGCTCTGTGGGGGATGAACTTTCAACTGTTAAATTTTCAATCTCCTCATATACAAACATCTCTGCACACTCCTTAGTAGAGCTGATGGTGTTGTTTACTGACACACAGACATTAAAGACGCCGCTCTGTGCAAAGGTGTGTGCTACGCGGCGACCTTGTTGCGGGGAAGAAGCATCCCCAAAGTGCCAGTCGTAGTGAATGCCATAAGGTGAGGGCAAAGGGTGAGCCTCGAAATCTGCTGCTTTGCAGGTGAGGAGGAGTGGAGGCTCTGTTTGTATATCCACCCGAGTGAGGATGCTGTAGACACTCATGTTGATGCTCTGACTGATGTTCTCATAACGATTGGACACCGACACCAGTGCAGTGTATATTCCTGTATCAAACAAGAAAAAGAGGTAGAGTTAGCTCAATTTGATCTCCCTGCCACCTTACACATTCATCTTTGTGTGAGTTCAAACAAAGTTAAAATAACATACTTGCTGCTGTTTATTTAGCCATGTTTGTGCATTAATTTTCTAATAGGGAGATAGATGAGGGGTTACCTGGCTGAGAGTAGATATAGGTGACATTGTTGCTTAATAGGACCTGATTGGGCGACTCTGAGCATAGGAGGGAGGGGGAGTAGGGAGGCTTGAACTCAAACTCCTTATAACCGCCATCCCCAAACGACCATCTGAAAAATAACAAATCAAATGTTAAACCATTGTAAGAGGACCCATTGAGTACAACCAGGAGCTGAGGTGAAATAATGCACCAATAACTGTCTCCATCCTCAAGCATACACACACAAAAACACACATAGACACAGTCACTAGTTGAAAGTGGAAAATCTTCTCTGACGCGGCAGTGCAGGCTTTGGACGAGGAGAAGTGGAAACTCAAAAATCACAAAACCTCTCTGGACCAGGAATGGTGAAAGTGGAGGGAAACAAAGTGAATGAGTGGGCCAGAGCTTAAAAGGGTGGGAATGTGAAAGAAGGAGGGACAGAAAAAAGTAGAAGAGAAAGAGTGGAAGAAAAAGGGGAGGGGGGGGGTACAGTGGAAAGAGCTGAGCAGAAGGGAAAATTCTTGTCAGCAATCTGCTCTAACCACACAGTTATAAATCCAAGGCTCTGCATGGTATGCATGCTACAGTACTATTATGGTGCACAAGAAGTCAAAAACAGAGAATAGAGCGATGGCAGAAACAGAGAGAGTGATAGAGGAGAAGAAAGGAGCAAATGCAAACACACAGGACTCACTCAGCCTTTGAAATTTGAGAGATTCAGATTCAAAAAACAAACCACAGAGGATACCTACCTACCAACCCATCCATCCATCCATCTATCCATCCCTCCCTCCATGCATCCATCCATCTATCTATCTATCTATCTATCCATCCATCCATCCTATCTCTGTTCATACCTGAAGGTTGCAGCCACAGACATGTCCAGGAGCACAGTTGTGGTAAGGGTCTGTGTGGAGCCCTGAGGAACAACATCGGGAACACCTTTCACTGTGAGGTTGGCCATCGGCTGCATTCGATCCACAGTCACGTTGAAATGCTCAGTGAGGGAGCTGACATGATTTATGGCTGTCACCTGGAAGGTACACCACAGGATCAGTGAGACAATGACGACAGATAGTAAGCAGTTAAGGTATTGTGTAGCTTGTAGTACATGACACAAAATTACGGGGTGCAATCATAATATTTTCAGATTAATCGATAAAGGTCTCTCTCTATTTGAATCAAGAGTGTGTTTCATACTTCATTACAGTCAGCTGGCAGCTCATATGCCGATTTAGCAGACACCACAAACATCCATGTTATGGATATTCATGTAATATACATGCATGTCTGACCCATTCTGATAACTGAATGGACCATTTTCCTTGTGACGGCTCAAATAATGAAAAGAAAGTTTAAAGCCGTGAAGAGTTGGACAGTTTCACTGAAAATCAACTGAATCGAAACAATGCAATCTGCTTGACCCCAAAAAAAAACATTGTCAAAGTAATCAGCTGATATCATAATCAGACACATTCTTGAAGCACTTAAAAATTAGGTTCAAAGATTGTCTTCAAGATGATCAAAATGCTAATATATTCGTGATTTTAAAGTACAAATATGTCAAACTAATACAGAAAGTAAGTGTTGTGCTGAGGAAATATATCCTACCAATACAAATGGCATTAGTATGAAAAACACAAAAGTATTAAATGTTCATGTTTCATATGTTTCCTGCAGGTCTTAATTGTTCCCATGTTGATTTTGTGATGATGTTTGTGAAACTATCTGATTATTACTCCTTGAAAGCCTTTCCAATATGAACCTCAATATCTCAATACATATAGTATACAACGAAACATGTTGAATTTGTGTTTACATATTTGAAGACAAGATTTACTGTCTTCATGGGCGGCTGTGCCTCAGTTAATAGAGTCGGTCGTCTATTTGAGGGTTTGATCCCCAGCTCCTGCAGCCACATGTCAGATGTGTCCCTGGGCAAGACACTTAACCCAGAATTGCTGCATGTGTATGAATGGGGTTAATTACTTCTGTTGGTGACTTTACATAGCATCCTCTACCATCAGTGTGTGAATGGGTAGGTGTGACATGCGGTGTAAAAACACTTTGAGTAAATAGAAACAGAAAGCGCCGAAACTTACGGTGAGCTTGTAGACGGCCGGGTGCTGGTAGATGACATTGAGGACGGTGTTGTAATAGGTGAAGTATGGCTTGTCATCCACCGTCCACTTAAATGTAGGACTGGAGCCTTCCAGCACGGATGCTGTGTAACTCTAAAACACACAGACATGAAAACATGATAAAGCAGACAGCGCAGCTTGCATTGTATCATTATGTGATATAAACTCAGAAAAAAAGAAGCAGAAAACAGACACTGACCACGACTGACTCCATGAGCACTCTGTGTGCAGGGTGGGGCTGAACCATCAGTCCTCGGAGCGGCTCTTCCAGCTGGACAACCAAAGTCAGGCTGGCCTCAGTCACGTTATTATAGACCTCCAACTCCACCTGCATTGGACCCTTCTGTTCCTCCAACCTCAGGCTCAGATCCAGCACTGCATACAGGCTGGGCTCCGCCACGTCCAACCCGGACCCTGAGCTGGGGCTTGGTCTACAGAGAGCTGGACCGGAGGAAAACTCTGGTGAACAGTCTGGCTGGAAGACCGCGGTCCGATCACTTCCATGTAGAGAGACAGTTGTTACGTAGCGAGACTGGACACGGAGCAGCAGCCGGGTGTCGTTGGGCTGCAAGTAGAGGGTGCTGTTCCGGGAGGGAGGGTGGAGGACTGTCAGGCCCAGAGGAGGAACCACCCGCAATGGGCATGATGCTGAGGCGTGGTACGATGGTTCAGCTGTCGTCACCTAGAATTGATTTAAAAAACATATGAGCATAAGGAGCCATCTAAAACAGACCTAATGGGGAGTTAAAGGTCACATATTATACGAAATACACTTAACCTTGTTTCTCTAACACGAACATGTGTCCCTAGTCCATCTACAAACTCTCCAATTATAAGAACAGTAAATCGTCTCTGTTTATTTGCCTGCTCCACTTTTCAGAACATGTGTGCCCAAACAGGCCGTTTGGAGATTTTCCCTTCATGACATCACAAAGGGCAGTAACCCCTCCCCCGGGTGGGTGGTACTCCCACAGCAGAGTGGCGTGTTTAAACAGCCTGTTCTGAGCAGGGCTGAAATTGTTTTTTTTTTTATAGGCATGATAGAAGAGAGGGTTGGAGTGGATATTGAGCTTCAAAGACATGTTGTGTGGAGCTCTGAGACTTATCTAAACTTGTTGAATAGGTGTATGATATGTGTTCTTCAACTTACATAACCTAGCAACAAAAAGCAGCGGTGAGAAAGGCTCTGAAACTGAGGTCGTGAGCATGGCCAGCACAAAAAAAAATATTGAAAATATGATATCAATATTTCTAAAGTTAGTTTGCACCAAACTGTAGTTGTTTGTTCATGACCATGTAATAATTTAATATAAACCAGCCATTTTTTTTCAGGGGTACATAAATCATGTTCCTAGAAGGATTTATTGATTGATAACTTGCAGATACTGGATACTGGTATCAGGATTGGGACAACTCTATACAGACATTTAATAATATTAAAATCTGTCAGATGCATGCCAGGATAGAACATCCAGCTTTGGTCTCTTACCATCAGGCTGTAGAGTCCGGGCTGGGGTAGACCAGCAGACAGCTGTCCCCCCTTTAGCTGAGTCTCACTCTGACCCACGTAGAGAACTCTGACGGGGCAGACGACTTCCTCCATCCAGCCTCCTTCACCGTCCTCCACCAGAGCCTCTATGTCGAGCTCCGGGTCGGGCACAGGGTCAGAGTCACGGTCCACTGAGGCGTCAGTTTGGTGTCTGGTGTTGTTAATCCAGAACCAGTCCGATTGGTTAAGGGCCAAAACAGGTTGTCGCCAAAGTGAGTGTGGGGACGATTGGCATTGGAGAAGAGAGGTAGGGCCGGCATTGTGCTGCAGAGCTATGACATCACCAGGTGAAACAAGGATGTCCTCCAAATCCTCTTGTACCTGAGCAAAGCCGGGATCAGGAGACATCAGCAGACATAGGTTAAAGGGAAATACTGCTTTCGCTTATTTTGCATCTTTTGCTGAAGGAAAAAGAAACATCAAACTCCTGAAAATTTCCCCCAAAATGTTCTGGGTGAGCTGCATTTGCTGATGAAAACCGGGAAGAGAGAGTGGAGAATGACATGCAGGATTTGAGACACATGTCATACTTGGGGCCCATTATTTGACACCATCTTTACCTGGACATTTTGCTGCCAGCCCCCTAGAGTAAGACTCTGCATATAGGCGGGCTGAACAGTCTGTGAATGCAGAAGGATATCAGTAAAATTCACTGTGAGCGAGGGGGTGTGGGTGCTGACGTTAATATCACGTGACCTGTGAATATACATTAGGATCTTAATTCATGTATTGAAGCTTCTTTATTCTTTTTTAATATTTGAAAGTATGTACTATATGTATATGTGAATATTGTTATAACATAACTGATTAAAGGCTACGTTGCCGCATCGTCTTTTTTACATAATTTCCTGCCTCCTGAGACCCCCCCCCCCACCTCCTGTCTAACAGAGGCAGTCTCCATATATGAACAGGAAACTCAGACAGACTTCAGGGGCCGCCTGTTCTGAAATTGTATCAATTTTCAGGAGTGCCTGTGTAAAAAAGGCTGATGATAAATCTCCCAGCTGTATATCCATGTGGACTAAAGTCAAAACCACAGTTTGAACTTAATGTATTACATACCGAGAGCTTCAACACAAATAACCATCCTCACCTGTATGTGAGCAGCTGGTCCTGCTGGAAGGGTGAACACCACCTCGTACTTCAGGGTGTATCGAGGCCTCAGCGCCCCGGGGGGCAGGCGGTGAGTCTGGGTGCAGTTGGGGCAGGATGATGGGTGACAAGGACTCGAGAGAGGCAGGCAGCGGCGATGAAAGGGACACCACTGCTCTAGGCGGGGGCAAGACGGAGGATCACTGCTGTTGGTGTCATTAATAACACAAACAGCCACCGGAGCACACGCTTGACCTCCACAACCTGAAACAGAAAAATTCAATAAAAACTCAAAAACAAAAACATGAGGCCATGTATGTGTGTGGGAGGATTTGTAGTGGTAACATAGTTCTCTGGACGTATATGCAAATCTGAGATCTTCCACTCTACGGTCTCTCCACTAATGCATGTCCACAGGTTCTGTTTTTGCATGTGTGTGTGAAAAGCATGTCTCTCAATAACAGAGTGTAAACCAGAATTTCCCTCAGGGATTAATAAACTATGTCAAAATAAACAAAAAAAAACAGAAGAATGGAGGAGCAAACTTGCTTTTGTGTAATTAATAATCCAGTTTTTCTTGCTCAGTATCTTCTCTGTCTCCTCTCCCCTGACTTTATTCACAGATCAAAGTTTTACAGAAAACATGCTCGGCTGATTGTCATGCATGTTCGTTTCATTGTGGATTTTTGCCTTTTCACAAATTGTATTCCTCCCTGCTGCTCTATGTCACCGCTTCGTTTTTCCGTCTAAGTGGAGACTTACAGTTATCAGATAAAAAACAACAACAAGTATTGTAAGTTTGAGACTCTCAGTGATGCAGATACATGTTGTGTGTGTTCAGAAGGGAGGTGACACTTATCATCACATTTTCTTCCTCTCATGTTTTGCCCTTCTTGATGTCTCCACCTAAACCTTTTTTTTTTTTTCTTTACCTACTTAACAGCTTCAGACAAGCCTGGTCCGTGTGTCTGTGTGCGTCTGTGTATATGTTTCTGTCTGCTGGTGAGTGGCACAGGTGGCATATTGTTTTTACCTATTCTCACCAGGACTGTGCTGATGGTTTATCGTGTGTCAGAGATAGTGTTCTGAGTTTGACTCACTGGGAAGCAGCAGGTGATGGCCTGGGTAATGACAGTGAGGGCTGTATGTCTGGAATCGCACGTGGATGGGTGAACTGAGCTCCTGAGTGACAAACTCCAGGGAGGAGAGACGACCTGCCTGAACAAAGCTCAGAGCTGGGAACAGCAGAACCTGTGTGGGAAAATAAAAAAAAAAAAAAAATAAAAAAAGTGAGAAAAACAGATTGAAAGTTTGAGGGAAAAAAAGGTTAGAGAAAATCAGTGCACCCATTAAATGAACAAGATGAGGTAACTACTCACCTCTATGCCACTGCTGGAAGGTTGTGGAGTAGAGAGCGCAGCAGTTGGGATATGCTGCAAAGGCTTATGGGTGGGAAACACAGTCAGACCCAAAACGTAGACTCCTGCATCTGGAACAGGAACTGCAGAGGCAGAGGAAGAGTGAAGTCAAGGTGACGGAAGAGCAAAGGAGAGGCATGGTGAAGGGAAATAATAAGAAATAAGAGCGAGAGAGAGAGAGAGAAAAAGCTAGAAGGAGAGATAACTTCTGAGGACACAGACTGAACACAATTACAGTAAAGATATACAAAAGCAATGACCACTTTGGCACACTGTATCTGTCCTGTATGTTACACTATGAGACTCAAAAAAAGCTAGAAAAGTTGTTTCTTCCGCATGTTGTAACTCACCCCGACACCTACCTGGGAAAATGTTCCTAAGGGTTAAAAATAACAATATAGAAGAAAACAGTCTTGAAATTTCTGAAATCAGGATTCATTTCAGTCTTTTTCATAAAAATGTAAAACCTTTAACGTGGAGATTTGGGAAACGTGGAGTTCTGATTGAGCTCAAGCTGCAGCAATTTAGCAGCAGGAATCACTTTTTTACTCCACTTAAAGTAAAGAGAATGAGGTGCCAAATTATGATACTTCGAAAAAAGTTATGATGCCTGAATGTTTCTGTAGCTATCACAATTTTAAGCCCCTTTACATTTCAATTACTGTAAACATTTCTAACGTCTTTAAAGATGTTGTATTAGCAGACAGGAATAATGAAGCATGACACTGATTTACAGAATGTGGTCTTGTGGTGACAAAGCATCCTATCAAACAGGTCGAGTTTTTTGTTGAAGGTGTGACCTGTTCCTAAACAAACGAAAAAGTAATTTTTTAACTGCACATTTTTTTGTGTGAAACTCTGTAAATTGAGCTGCTGCCTGTCTTGGCCAGGACGAGGGCCCTTTCCGAAAAGCCACAGTTCAGTATGCAGTGCGTACTTTTCAGTAGAGAGTTTTAGTAGGCTGAACCCTCGTGGTCATTCAGTATGCATGTTTTGGGTCCATCGCAGTATACTGAACATTTCAGTATGGATACTAACTCCTGGGTTTCATGCAGTATGGATCAGATGAATCCTTTCAGGAAATGAATTGTGTTTTACCCACAATGCTGTGCGAAATTAAACGCAAAACGTCACCTCACGTCCGCCTCCAAATAAAAAAAGGAGCATGGATTAATTGAATCAATTTCTAATCTAGAGTTAAAGAGTTAGAGTTAAATCACTACTTTAAATTAACAACAGAAAATATAACAAATATCTGCATTATTCTAAAACCTTTCCCCCTCTATTTAAATAATGATTTCACTATTTAAATGTGTCTTTATTGGTTTATTTTACTTTATATTCTGTATATTACTGTCTTTCATTTGTACTTTATGTACTGTATGTTATTTAGTTATTTAATCTGCCTTTTACTTGATTTACATTGTGATACTGTTTTTGTTTACCTGACTGTATATGCACATTACTCTTCTTGAATAAAGCTAAACAAAAAACAAAAAACAAAAAAAAACAGATGGATGCGGCCGGTTCAGGAAACGTAAATGACGTCACTTCCTTACTGAATGAATCAGACGTAGTCGAAACAAATATCTGCCTACTGAATAGTAGATACTAAACAGTATACAGCACGGATAGTAGCAACTGCCTACTGAAAGATTGAGTAGGTACTTGGTAATTCGGATGCACCCACTCTTGGAAAAGAGATTTAATCTCAATGAGTTTCTTTCCTGGTTAAATAAAGGTTAAATAAAAAAAACATGTTTCAGTATGAAAGATGCTTTGTAAAATATGCAAACTGAACCGAAAAATGCTCAAAACAATGGATAGCCTCAAGAAGCTTATTTAAGCTGTTTGTAAAAATCCATCAAAATGCTCCAAAACTTGGTGCTGCTCTCCTGTTTAGGATTAGGGAGTTGTTTTTCTTTCTATACTTGTTTGTGCCACAACCAAATTGACTTTCAATTTCAGTTAAGAAGGTTGAAGTTCTCCACTTTGCCCAAACGACTAAAGCAAATCGGGATGTTGGGGGAAATTGCATTTGCATTGAATGTATGCGTCAGTATCTTCCTCTTTTTATGGGTTTCTTGGCCTTTAAACATCTCCATATTTATGAGTGCATGTGTCAGTGTGTCTCTGAGAGGTATGGAGCGTACCTTGGGGGCTGTATTGGCAGACGAAGGCTCTCTTGGTGTTGCATAGGTATGAACTGGTCTGACCCTTCTGATCGAGGAAAACGCATCTTGCACGGGAGATGGGGGATCGAGGCGGCAGGCCCTCCTCTCCTGGAGAGCCTGGAGAGTCAACATCACTCAGGCCCAGCCACACACTTCGATCCCTTAGGCAGAAATAGAAGGGTGAGATGCAGATAAACACAGCGCCTGCTTGACATTTAGCCACCCGGCTCTTTGCAGCTGGAAAATTGGCTTTGTCACTTATACTGGAAGGCACATACACAAACATTTCCAAATGCAGGACAAAACAAATTGGGCATGAAATTATCAAAGAAGATCCATGCTATTCAAAGGAGAATAATGAAAAGAAGAAAAAACCTTTTGTTATCCTTTTTCATACTGTGAGATGGAACAGCAAAGCAGGAAAATCTCCTTACAAAACATCCAGACTGAAATCAATGTGCGACTCATAAAGTGGCACAGAAGTCTCTCTGACATGTGTGCTGGCTCGCCTGGAACGATCAATGATTGCAGAGCAGAAAGAGCATGAAAATGCGCTTTGATTGAACCCCAATGGGATGCTAGCGAGGCAATGTCAGATATTTAGTCGATTCCTGTGATTACGACTGATGAATTGGATTTTCACCCCATGAGGCCTCTAATGGACTGCACATTTCCCCCCCCTTGCTTACATTTTTTTTTTCTTTCTGTCGCACACTGTTAACTGAAAACAAAATGGTCTTCCCTCCAAAGGATAAGGCAGCGTATGACTCACTACAACCTTAAGACCGATTGCAGAAATTGGAAATGAAATGGAAGGAAACATTTTTGACACAATTTGTTTGGTGGTAAAAGTCCAATAACTGTGCTGGAATAAAAAACGATTTAATCTCTTAACACTGGCTGGTTTTCCAGAGCTATAAAGTATAAAACATAAAAAAAAAAAAACACGGGCAGAGAGGGAACAAGAAGAAGGGGGCTTTGTGGCAAAAAAACAAGGAGGGAAAAAATGAACTCCTTATGTAAGCAAGATGGTGGAGGAACACATGAGCGGAGGAGAAGAGAGGGGATAAGCTCCATCTGCAGCAGGTTTTTTCTCCTCTCATCTACTTTGGTCGACGAGGGCAGGGCCTCTACCCTCACGTTAACACACACACACACACACACACACACACACACACACACCACACACACACACACACACACACACACACACACACACACACACTGAACTATGGACTCCTCCTCCCCGGGTGTTACAATGCAGCTGTGCTTTTACAGATGTGTTTTTTTGCGACCCTCTCCGACCTAAAATCCAAACACTGATGTTCTTCAGAGCTGCACGATTCAAAAGCATTCTTCATAACAGTTCACTGCACATGATTTCCATTTACGACGCAGCTCAAAGAAGACACGTTCAATAAAAGAACCATTCTTTTTTGGTGATAAAATAAAGACTGCATACTGTTGCCATGGCCAGGCCTGACGTAATGATCCATTCATAACCGGTAAATGGATGGCAGACATCTAAGGACAGAGGAACTTGAGAAGCTTCTTATGGATTTTTATTGGTTTCAGCAGACAAATCAAGCATCAAGAAGTTTTTCTATAACAAATCACAGAACAAGAATGACTGAAGTCCCGTTTCTGCACCCCAGCCAATAATAATAATAATCAAAAAAATCACTCACTGTGGGACTTTGGGTGCCAGCAGGTTACGCAGTGCGTCACTCCTGACTATTGCCAGATCCCCGCTGCGGTCCAAACACTGCTGTCGAGCGTCTGTCCAACTTAACTGCCCTGGAACGATCTGGAAACAGCGTGAGGACTCGGCATGGTACACCCCATCCTTTGGACAGTGAGGGGAGGCTGGAAGAGGACAGAAACAACGCAGTTTGTTTGAAGTCCCACTCGCAACTTTCATGAAAAAGATCCAACTTTTATTTCTGAAAAGATCATCTTCAAAACAGCTTCCCTTCTTGAAGCTTTTAAACATATTCACACACGTCTGTTTAACCCTCAGATACGTCTTAACAACGGCTGAGAATTGATTACGGATCATTAGAAATCAAAGTCCTCAGAGAGTGAGCACAGTCCAAACAGAAGTTACATTCAAATAATAAGAAACTGCGCCGTCATTTTAAAGACAACGCAGCTTTTAGGGAGCTCTGGGGGATTTAACAAACTGCTGAAAAGGGGAAAAAAATAAGGTGGGAAAAAAAGTGAGTAAAATTTTAACAGGCATTTCTTGTAAGAGTCTCTCTGTCTATACCTCCAAGCCAAGTTAAATGAAGAACCCGAGTGGTCATCATGCTTCATTTCGGCTTAATGAGTACCCAGATAGCAAAGGGCTGAATCTTGATTTCCTCTCTAAACCCTGAGCCATGAGCCCTTAAGGACTTCATTGACATCACCTGGGAAGTGGTCGAGTGCATGGCGCTGCAAGGGCTCGAAATGTTTAAATTGGAATGGGACAGCACTTTGTGACTTCTCTGTAACCATGACAGCATGACGTCATGTTGCTCACCTTAGCGGCATTTGGACCTTTTATTTTAATTTTGTGAGTTTTGTCCGGTTACTCCGGCTTCCTCCCACAGTCCAAAGACATGCTTGTTGGGTTGACTGGTGATTCTAAGGTGAATCACTTCTTTAGGTGTAAATGTCAGAGTGGATGGTTGTCCGTCTCTATGTGTCAGCCCTGTGATTGACTGGCAAACAGTCCAGGTTGTACCCCGCCTCTCACCCAGTGACAGCTGGGATCTCCCCCCCGCCAGAGGGGCCATCCAGCCATTGCAGATAATGGCTGGATGGATACATATAACGGGAGTAATACACTCTTTCTCTGGCTCTTGTTTTTGTTCCGTAAATAGACTTGCAGCAGAGTTTTGAATTAGCTATAGTTTCCCAAAATACTTTTTTGGTCGACTGTAATTACAGTCGAGCATTACAAACTGCAGTCTACTAAAAAAAAAGGCACGGATTAGCTTCTCAGCATCTTGCTAAGATAAAAAAAAACCTTGGCAATATTTCAGGCAACTTATTTTTCAGAAGCTTCACTGTTGGTTTCACCTTCCTGCTCGTTACCCGTCTTTCCCCCTTCTTTCTCTGTTTTATGGCGTTTGTTTACATTTCCAATCTGGCGGGATTCCCCTGGGAATCCAATGTGTCACTTCACAATGCTATGAACTATGGGTAATTCCCTCACGCTAAGTCTGCATATACAGTCTGCCCACTTACAGGCAGGGTGCATTAAGGGCTCAAAAAGTCAGCGAGAGATCCATCAGGCAGAGGGACGGTGGACATCCAGATTGGGTCTTATTGTCTTCAGATAATTGGATGTTTATCTGCATTTTTGTAGTGGTAAGACATTTGGTGTTAAAGGGTACCCTTTTTTCTCAGAAAATGGGGCACAATTATTTACAAACAGAAAGTCAAGTTTTGACTCGTCAGACCCCAGGACTGTTTTTCCACTTCGTCTCAGTGCATTTTAAAACGAGCCTGAACCACGGCAGCATTTCTGGATCTGCTGGTGTCGGCTGTTCCTCTGCATGGTAGAGTCTCAGTTAGCATTAATGAACAGTTAGCGTTTATGCACGCAGTGACTGAGGACTGTGTTTGCAGAAAATGGCTCCTGTCAGCGTCAGTGTTTCTGAACACAGGAAGTAATGTCCAGCACAGAATCGTGTCTGTTTATAGTGCAGGGACGTCTGAGGGCCAGAAGATCACATCCAATATGGATTTTCTTCTTAGTCCCCTACATAAAGAGATTCCTTCAGATTCTCTGAATCTTTAGAGGACACTATGCAGTGTCGACAAAGAAATCACTAGATTGTTTTCATTCTTATATCAAAAACTTTTTGTTTTGTTTTTGCACTATTTACAAGCAGTCTTTCACAGAGTGGTGAACCCTCCTCATCTTCACGTCAGTGAGACTCAGCCTCTCTGGGAAGCTCTTTTTATACCCCATCACGTTACTACCATCATATTAAATTGTTCCAGTTTTTGTTGCCTCTGTCCACACCTTTTTTGAAACGTGTTGTCGGCATCAAACTCCAAATGAGCGCATCATTTTCTAAAAGCTTCACCCAGGTCGTTGTACTGCTTTCATCTTGAAAAACATGGAGAGTTTGTGTCTAGCTTTGAGCGGCTGATTGGTCAGAGTGTGAGCCTCTACGACGAACACTGACACGACAAAGAGACACAAAGAGGCAATCAGGTGCGCTGCGTCCCAGCAGTGTTTAATGTTGTTAAAACGTCGTCTTATCCGGCATGTCTGTGGAATATGTATATGTAATATGTCTAAAGTGTAAGATGAGTGTCCCTCGAACTGTGCTTGTGTTTCTGTGGCTAATCAGTCTACTTGGACAATGCCTTTCCATGTAATGTCCGAAAGCACACCTAAGTGAGGCGCCACGGCTTGCACGCTCGTACAGCCGAGAGGCTCTGCTGGAGCCAAGCAGATTGTATCAAGCCACTTCTACCGGCTGACACTGGAAAAGATCCCCCAGGAGCTTATCAGGACCAAAAAAAAGGAAAAAGAAACGTGGAAAGAGAGGAGGAATTCGAAACCGGCTACGAAAGAGATCAAATCGGCCACCACTCCCTTCTATTGTCTTCACAAACCTGCGCTCTTTATTCAACAAAGTGGATGCTATACGAACATACGCAAGGTACTGTAATGAATTCCAAGAGGCATCTCTGTTATGCTTTACAGAAAGCTGGTTACAAGCTACGATGCCTGACTCCCTCTTTCATGTCCCCGGATTTACTCTTTGTTGCGAGCAGACAGAGACGCTGACTCGGGAAAAACAAGGGGAGGAGGCATCTGCGTGTAGATAAACGATCTATGGTGCCGAATGCACTCAGTCAAAGTTACGATCTGTGATCCAAATGTAGAAATTCTCGGCATGACTTTAAGACCATTTTATTTGCCAAGAGAATTTGGGTGTACTTTGCTGTTCGTTGTATACGCACCCCGTCACAAGCTGCACGGGCTACAACTCAACTACGCTGAGGCACCGGCTATAGTTTTGGGAGACTTGAATCAGCGTCACCTGGAAACTGTGCTGCCTGGTTTCGAGCAGTACGTCAAGGACCAGACCAGGAAAGACAATATTTTGGACAAGTGCTTTCTAAATGTTAAAGGTGCTGATGTGTCCAAGTGCCGGCCACCTATATTCAATTCCGACCATAATGTTGTGCACATGATTCCAGTGTATAAGACACAACTTAAGAGAAGTAAACCAGAAAAGAAAGTGATTAGGACATAGACAGATGAGAGTAAAGAACAACTGAAAGCCTGTTTTGACTGGACAAATTGGGACATTTTTCATGAGGGCTCCATAAATGACATGTACAAATGATTATATCAATTTTTGTGTAGAGCTGGTTGTTCCAACAAAGGAAATTGAAATTTACCCTAATAATAAATCATATGTCACTAGTGACATAAAGGCAGTCATAAATACAAGAAAAGTGGCTTTTAAAAATAAAAATCACACAGACAGCTTCTTGAACAAGCCTTTAAAGCTAAAAACCCTAAAAGAGTGTGGGACATCATGAAAGCTATGACAGCTATGTCAACTCCAATCAAATCAATTGCGACAGACAATGAACTTACATTTTCCAGTGACCTTAACTCTTTTTTTTACTGGATTTGAATCACAAGACGACCCTGAAAAATTCCCTGAAATACTCAGAACCATAATACCTGCAGCTTCAGACAGAATTATTATCACTGTTGAAGATGTAAGGAAAACATTTCAGGGTACAAATACAAAGAAAGCAGCGGGACCTGATAAGTGTAGCGGTTGTCTGCTAAAAAACTTTGCAGCTGAGTTGGCTCCAGTATGGCAACCAATTTTTCAGTCTTCAGTTGACACACACGAGGTCCCTATGTCATGGAAAACTTCATACATAAAACCTTTACCTAAGATTCCATGTCCAAGGGATCATAAAGACTTCAGACCAATAGCTCTTACCTCAGTGATCATGAAATCTCTAGAAAGAATACTGCTCAAACATCTTGTTAGCAAAACAAATCACACACTTGATCCATACCAATTGCTTATAAGCAAGGATGTGGAACAGAGGATGCTGTTGCCACTCTGGTCCATATCATCACCGAACATTTAGATAAGCCAAATACATTTGCAAGAGCCTTCTTTCTAGACTTTTCATCAGCATTTAACACAATAAAAGCAGACATCTTAGTAACAAAAATGATTCAACAAAAACTTAACCCCTACTTGACTCTTTGGTATGCTTCTTTTCTCACTAACAGAATCCAGTTTGTGAAGGTGAATAACACCCTTTCATCTGCTATCACAACCAATGTTGGCGCTCTCCAGGGTTGTGTAAGCTCAGCTGTGCTTTTCACTTTTTATGCATTTGACTGTCGTTCTGACACACAAAATCAGTACACTCTGAAGTACTCTGACGATACAGCTCTGATTTCTCTGTTAAGTAACTCTGACGACCCTGGACTGCACCAACATGCTGTGAACAAAATGGTTATGTGGAGTGATAGACACGCTCTAGATATCAATGCAAAGAAAACAGAGGAAATTGTATTTGGTTCACCATCTGATGCTCATAAAGCTCCTATTCTCATTCATGATGAAAAAATCAAGCAAGTGTCATCTTATAAATATCTGGGTATAATGATCGACCATCTGTTGTCCTGGAAAGATCACATCGATTACATCTGTAAAAAGACAAAAATGTATTTCCTCCGCCGTCTGAGATCTTTTGGGGCGAGTCGACAGATTCTTCTTTTGTTTGTTACCTCTGTGATTCTAAGTGTCCTACAGTATTGTAACACCTCATGGCATATGTGTCTGTCCGCCACTCTGAAGTCTAAACTGCTCCAGCAGTTGAACATCTGCTCTAAGATTGTAGGCCAACCCATGCAAAGACTCTATGAATCCGCCTACAACGAAAGCATTTTAAGACTGGCTAACTGCATCGCCTCTCACCATGACCACGCCCTGAACACAGAGTATGAACTATTACCATCAAACCGGAGATACAGGGTCCCACGTTTTAATGGTCAGACTGAAACACTCTTTTGTTCACCAATCAATCTTAAAATTGAATGTGGAGCTGAATCCTCGACCAAAGCACGTTTAGGGCCTCTGGGCATTTGTTTGGCGTTTGAGTGTTGTTTCAAATGTTTGTATCTTTGTTTCCTGTCTTAATTGTTGTGCCGCAAACGGAGCCGCTGTGACGCAGAAGTATTATCTAGCGATCTAAGATGTGGATCAATGGAAAGAAAAAAAAACCTCCAATACTGTAAAAAAAAAAAAAAAACATCTGTGAATTACAAGGACAAACACCACCTAAGTGGGCAGGTTGAACAAAGAACTGGCAAATTCCTAGAATTTATCTTCCATTTTTGCCATTCAGTGAATCACATTTGATTCACACATTCTCAACATATACTATCGCTCTATTTCTAAAGCTATACCTACATCTTTGTAGAAAACAGACTGATAAAAATGACTGAGAAATCCCAGAAACAACTAAGTGCAATGATCAAACTAAAGCAAAAGATTTGATTCTAAAATTCAACCTATCTAAGAAATCTTAACACACCTTCAGTGAATAGTGTATGAAGGAGGAGTAGTCTTGAGATGAGTGGCGAAGGGAAGTCGAGTAGGTGAGGGTCTTATATATTGTAAATTGAAGAGAGTTTGAGGCTCTCATACAGCGAGACTTGACTTAGGGTCACTCTTCTTTTGTGAACTATACGACGATCAGGAAGCTCAGATGAAGAGCAGACAGAAAGCTACAAAGGCAAGGGCGCTGCTTGACAAAAGTAAAAAGGCGATGCTTATAGAACCCTTGAAGACACTTCAGAGCCCTTTTAGCCAACACAGCAGCTCATCTTCTTTCAGCTCATTGTTTTGGTTTATGACCCATGACTTTGTTGTTGTGGTTCACTCTCAGTGCTCTCGTTGTTTTCAGCAAACAGCTGCTCAAAAGGTACAAAAAGCCCACTGTGCCTGACAGCGCAGGAAGAGGTTAGCGACTAGCTGCATGTGTGAAGACAAATAGCCAAATTCTGCTTTCCAACTTTACCTGCTATTTTTCCTGCCAGCCCCCCTGGTAAACTTTCCCCAGGATGTCAAGGTGAGCCGATGCTTAAATGCAGCAGGAAATATTCAGGAAATCAAAAGGGATGTGATATCGTGATAAAAAACAAGGTAAAAAAAAGAAGAAAAGAGTATCGGACTTTCACTTTTCAAAAATGTTGCCCCCTGATGGCCAAACATATATTTTTTTCTCACTCAAAAAAAGTCTCATCCTCTTTTTAAAGTGTTCATGCATTGTCACAGCTAAGGAGGAACTCGTTAGAAAAGCAGTTTTAAAACTCAGACCGGACTAATCAACAAAAAACACCATCAAGCGCATGAGGAGGAGGAGTGAAGCAGCGACTGGTCGACTGTTGCGGTGTATGTTTTGCAGAGAAAAGCAACAGAGAGATTAAGAGCTATCCTTAAGATTTTCAGCAGCCGCAATTGGCAGTTTATTACGGGATGGTGAGGACTCTAATGTCAAATGTAAATAGATTAGTTTAGTGTTTTGAGCTGCTCAGAGCTGACATGTGAATGTTTCTTACCTTTGGCAACTTGGACGCCATCCTTCATGATCTTCCAGTCTACTTTAACACCAACAGCGCCCCAGCTGACGAGTTTGAACTCCAGACTCTTATTGGCCACAGCGAGGACTGGACAGTGCAGCTCCAGTTTAGGAGGAAGAGTCACCGTCACCTCTCCACGTGCAGAGACCTGAACACACCCAAACACACAAAGTATTCAGATCACAGTTTAAAAAAGGATTTAATAGATTTATTCCAAAAAAAACTAATCATTCTTTTTTTCCTTCCTCACCTCCTTATGACCAGCCCAGGCCATCAAACTGACTGCATACCGTCCTGGAAGTCCATATTTGTGGGTTGCTATGGTGTCCTCTGTCCCTGTCGTGTTAACTCGGGTTGAAAGGTCACCAAAGTCCCAGGACAGCGTCAGCGGAGTCACCGAGGAGGCGGCAGAGAAAGCGATGCGGTCGTGAACACTTTGCAGCGGCAGAGGCTTCAGCGCGACCGAGAAGTCCACGGCAAACACGTCGTGAGCCAGAGTCCAGCCACATTTCTGTGCACAGAGAGACGCTTTTCTGTTAATATGCAGAATATTTAAAAGAGGTTTCATTGTTTTTAAGGTTTCATAACAAAAAGGGGCGCTGGTGGCGCAGTGGTTATTGCGCACCCCTATGTATCGAGACTATAGTCCTCCAAGTGGGCGGCCCGCATTCAAATCCCACCTGTGGATCCTTTCCTGCATGTCATTCCCCACTCTCTCTCTCTCTCCCTGATTTCCAACTCTATCCACTGTCCTATCTCTACATTAAAGGCACAAAAAGCCCAAAAATAAATCTTAGAAAAAAAGAAAAACATAACAAAAACTTTGACGCTTGCGATTGCTCTGTATTTAAAATGAACCACTCTTGATTATTAAACAGAGTGAGAGATGATTGCTTCGGTGGCTTTGTACAGCTGAACTGCAGGAAACTGAATCTGAGAATGCAGGGAAGTCATTCAAGCCTCCGTGGGAAGTTGTTGTAAAGTTATAGGAACACCAGGAGGAAATCCTGAGTGTGCTTACAACAGCATGAGACGGGGGATAGGAAGTAGTTCTATTTGACCCAAACACTTGACTCACTTTACATTACAACAAAGACTATCCAGGACCTCTGCCTGCTGCGTACCTTCATAACGTCGGGGTTGGTGCAGGCAGCAGAACACTGCGACTCGCTGATGAAGTTGGGCTCCGAGTTGATGCTGCACAGACACTCGTGTTTGGTGCCCAGGCCGCCGTAGAGATGCGACGCAGCGAAACACACGCTGTTACACTGTTCACGTGTGAAGTTCCCCGGTGTGGAGGAGGAGAAGATGACGAGCTCGCTCCGCCCACCTCCACCAATGCTGCTGTCCTCCAGACAAGCGGCAAAGTTTGGGCCTGGAGAAGAAGACGACGTTTCTTTAAATGTGCCATCAAATACTAAAATTCAATTTGTCTTATATCTCAAAAATGTGGAACAGTATAAGACTTATTTGTTTTTTTAATCAGAAAGAGACAAAATAGGTCCACTGACTATCAAGGTCTGAATTTTTAAACCACAAATATGATATATTGCATATTGCTTTGTTTTGGCCTTTGATTTAAGTTATAAACTGATAAAGCAAAGCGGTGAGTCCACCTGCTTTCTTTAGAGCATTTATCTTGCAGAGACACTTCATTTATCTCAGTGAAGTCGCTTTACTAGTTCTACTGTGGTACCCATTCACACAAAAAGTCATTGATGTTGGTGCTTTCATTATCATGTAGTACAACAAACAGTCTAGAGTCTAAAGTTGAATGAACTCCACAGAGGGAATCCCTTTTTACTTTTGGTGACGTGTGTTTGTAACATCTTCATGCGTGCACATTTGTGTGTGTCATACCACAGGGTGTGCAGGCTGACATTGAGCAGGGGCTGGTGCCGCAGCTCAGGCGGTTGGTTGCAAAGCATGGCGTCTGGGCGTCGAACCCGTACCCCTCTCTCCTGCAGCCATCTGACCAGCTTGAACAGCTCGCAGTCGCACTCAAAGGGGTTACCGCTCAGGTCGCTGGAGGAGGGAACAGGTGGAGGAGTGAGTGATGGTGAAATATGACCAAGAGACGGGGTTAAAGGAACATTGAAATACTGTCTGCACCATGTTGGTAAACATAAACAGTTAAAAAAAAAAAAAAAAAGGGCACAACATGAGCTAATCTGAGCTCCATGGAAATGCCTTTAATGAAGGTTGAAACAGTAAAATGTGTTGTGTGTGCTTTTTTTTACATAACGTGGATTTTGATGCAACTTTTAATTTTTTACTTTTACAGATAGGACAGTGAGAGAGAGAGAGAGAGAGAGCGAGAGAGAGAGAGAGAGATGTGAGAAAGGAGCCACAGGTCGGATTCGATCCTGGGACAGCCGTTCTCGCCTCTGTACACCACGAGGATATTCACACCCCGATGCAACGTTCAACTACTTTAACTTGCTGAACAACGGTTATGAGCTTTCTGTTTTGAATCAATCAACACTCCATTACGATGACTCTCTTCAAGTGTTTACTCACTTCTTTTGGATTAAAATGAAGAAGCAGATGGAGAAATGAAAGGTTTACTGCTGGAATGTTTTTCTGCTTCTACAAAGTTAAGAGTCTGGGGGAATTAAATAAAGATGGATCATGATCTCATAGCTCCATGAATTGCTCATAAATTACATCCGCTATCTGCTCCATCTCACGGTAAGATTCACAAAGCAATCGGCACTAATGATATCCCCAAAAAGTTGTTCTGCTCTGTGCGGTTTGCTCTTGCTTTAGGTCTCTGATTCTGGAATTTCAGCTGTCAGCATATCCTCCATCATCTATGCCCAGCTGCACTGTGCGCTCTCATCCAGACAGACATCAATCCTGTCCACATAATGATGACAAGCTGGGAGGGGAGGGGACCCTTCTGACCACTTTATTGTGAAGTCGAGTCTCGACACATAAGATACAACTTACACTGTTTATAACTTCCTCCCTAAAGCGAGCCAGTGAGAGCAGCTCACCCTGATTAAAAAACACACACTCCCATCCCCTGCAGCAGTCTGATAATAACCGCCTTTTTGTTAAACTAAAAATTCAATCGCTTGGTTTTTGAGATTTTGAGGCCGTAATGAGCTTCCATAGATTAGAAGGAATGAAACCATGTCTGTCTGTCACTTACAAGTCTGTTTAACTGTGTTGGATTACAGACTGTGCACAAGAGGGAAACTTTTGGGAGCTGCTGAGGAATAATTACCACTCACTACCTCCCACTCCGGTCTGAAATAGAGCTTGAGTTTCATCTCGTGTGTAGGCGAGGTAACTAGAAACTTGCTGCCTATTTAAGCATGTGTGATCAGATGTGTGTGTTCACTTTGTGCATATGCTTCTGTAGGTGGAGGTCTGACTTGCTATTCATATGTTTGTATTTGTTGGAGAGAAAAGAGAAAAGTAGACACAGTGATGCAGAGCTCAGCAATGAATCGTGTACTTACATTTGAGTTAAATTGCACAGGTTGTCACATGTTCTTTCTTCTATGGTGCTGATGAGGTTGTTGCTCAAATCACTGATGGGAACAAAACAAGACAATTCAGTGTTGACATCAAACACGAGCCTTCACTCAGTGCCCGCATTGATTTGTGGGAATTATTACATTACAATTTCTCAAATTGGCAAGAGGGTAATGTGAAAGTCGAAGCCAAACAATGAGTCATTAGATGATCGAATATGTGCGACTTCTACTCCTACGTTATTATCAAATGGTAAATTAATTCAGTCACGCAAAAAAAAAAGACTCTGAGGTTTGTGTTTGTCACAGAGAAGACGATTGTCCCGTCCTTTTAGACCATACAGACTCACATAACGGAGTAATGAAACCCCCAAAAAACAAAACAAGTCCCAGCTCGCCGAAATGCTGAGTAACAACGAGCATTTAGACTTTTAATGTTTTCTCGTTCCACTTTTTTTTCCACTCATCTGCTTTGTTTCCATGCTTCTCTCTCTCTTTTCTTTTTCTTTCCTCCCTTTTTCCTTCTCCTCTCATAATCTCCTTCTCCCTCCCTCTCTCCTCCATCCACTCGGCTACATAATGGAGCCGTTGTGTGGTGGTTTTGGAAGGAACTGATGGAAACCACCGGAGTCCTCTCTCATCACACACACACACACACACACACACACACACACACACACACACACATACAAACATGTGCTTAAACGTGTACTCAATGGGTGGAAGAAATAAGGTAATGGGTGGAGGGAGGGGGAGACAGATGGAGAGTGGGACAGAGGGAGGTAGTGGGAGCCTGAAGCAGTGGGCTGTAATTGAACTTAATCGTGTTCTGATTGGTGTGTGTGCGTTCACGTCTGTGTAGTATACTATATATGTTTTTTCTCCCCCTGTTCCAGTTTGCATACTCCAGGGATTTCTGGCTACTTAAATCCAGACTAAACCCTGCCTTTCATTTTCCTCCCCTCCTTTTTTCGACCTTGGCTTTGCCAGGTTCCTCGTCTCCTCTCCACTTTGTACTCACAGGATTGAGATCGGTCCGCAGCAGAATACGCCTCTGGGGAGAATATTGATCCTGTTCCCTTGAAGATACCTGAAAGAAAATGGGCAAATATTAGAGCTGTATAGTAAGATAAGTCATTACTTAGATGGATGTAGATAGTTACAGTGTTCTGTAGCTGATATCATATGAACAGACACATAATGCTGTGTGTACTCACAGCTCTCGGAGGCCGGTGAGACGGTCGAGCAGGCTGGTATCAAGGGAGGAGATGTGGTTCTTGGAAAGATCTCTGCGGGAACAAACCAACATGTCCTAATTTAAAATGCATGTGAGGGCAAAATGATTACACACACACACACACACACACACACACACACACACACACACACACACACACACACACACAGTACCATCAGAAGATACAAGTTCTTTTTCAAATAATATGATCGCGTGCGCTCATAGAACTGAAATTAAATGATAAGAAAAGAAAAAGAAAGTAAAATCTCCAGCTCTCACAAACACATGTGAGGAGAAATAAAAACCAGACACACTTAATAAGAAGTAGACGTGCCAAGAACACAACGCGATACACAAACCAAAGAACAATAAAAGATTTTCAAGGTAACATTTTCTCTGATGAAATAACTCACAACAATGCAGCCATTGTTGGATGAAACAGCATGTGTCGAAAACATCTGCTTCTCAGGAGCTTTGAGAAATACTTCTGTTTAAGGTTCATGACTTGGATTTGATTTTTCAGCTCCTGCAGTAAATGTTTTCACCAGCCAAAGTGTCTTAAAAAATAAGACCATGTTTGTGTT